AAAGCAGGAATTATCTGGCTCAAATGGGCTTATGAAGGAATAATGTAACAGGGCTCTATTACATTTAACATTTTCTGAAAACCTGACATTTTCACTACCGATTGAGATTTCAGAGATGTTTTTTTTTTTTTTCACCACTCTTTTTGTAGCGGTGATGGTACGCGACGTATCTGAAGAGCGGTAGAGGCGTGTGCGTGCGATGTACCTGAGCGGCGGGTTGAGTTGTGCCCAACGAGCCTGAAGAGCTGGGAGGGATGCGGTGGAGAGGGGTGTGCGACGTATTTAAGGACCGGGGGGGAGACGCGCCCTTTCCAGACGATTATCATTATCAATATCATTCAAAGCAGATTCACATAAATGGTCATAGTAACTGGATCAGGGTGGTTCAGTTTTTAGTGTTCAAGTTCAGTTCAGTTTAGCTCAGTTCAGTGTGGTTTAAACTCATTACTGAGAGTCCAAACAATGAAGAGCAAATACATCGATGTGTAGCTCTACCGATTCTGAACCATACAAGCCAGTGGCGACAGCGGAGGAAAAAAAACTTCACCAATACGAGAGTGAAGGAAAAAACCTTGAGAGAACCAGACTCAGTTGGGCACAACCATTTTAATTTCTCCACTGGCCAAAAGTCTTGTGCAGAGCTGCAGTCTCAGCGGTGGAGGCTGGAAGCTGGCCTCAGCGAAGACTCATCTGTCCCTGGAGCGTCACTGGAATCAGTCTCCTGCTCTCCACTCCCCATGACCACCAGCGCAGCAGCAGCTCAAAATGCAGCTAATGAGCGCATGCTTTAATAAAGTGATATTCTGAGTTCAAAAGCGATGGTCTACTGTTTAACATGACAGCGGGGAAGGCAGCATGTTGTCTGCCACGTCATTTGGGATGCCATGTTGAGCGTTGTTGCACTGAAAACATCATATTTTGTACTTATCGTTCGGTTTGTAATGCGTACCGAAAGCGAAAGTCTCGTACTGAACGGTTCAATACGAATACGTGTATCGTTTAGGCTTGGGCGATATTACGGTATTATGGTATACCGCGGGATCTAAAAATAGCAACGGTGTCAGTTTCAATACCGTTATACCGTCACAAAGTATTAAATATCCTTTATTTAATGCCTAAAAAACGTGTGTGTGCTTGTCATCACGGGACAGTGTGGAGGAGAGAGATAGAGGAAGAGGGAGGGGGAGATGGTGAGAGGGAGAGGGAGAGAGGGACAGGGAGACGTGACGTGACGAGTCGCGCTTCAAAGTGTCCTGCAGTTTGGCAGTTTAGACTGAACAGAAGGGAGACGTGGTTAATATGAACGAGAGGTCTGCATTATAGCTGAAGATCATTGTCCGAACCCGGCGAGACCCGAAAAAATCCAAATCCCTGCATTAAAATCCATCTCTGCAAAGGTGAAGCAAATTATGACGAAGTAGTAAAAAAAGAGAATTTTGACGGCGGTCAAGCCAGTCAGAAAGAGCGGTTATTCCAGCCGCAGGTATTTCGCGGTCGCTCATACACTGCGTATTACGGTAGAGCCCTAAACCGCAAGCTGACAGGTAAAATGACGAGGCCACTCGCTACCCTGAAACTACGGTCATGGAAAATTAAATGGATGTTCCTGACTGGTATAAGATGAATAAACAATCCTACCTAAAACTTGCAAAATCAGCCAGATCAGAACTCTGCATCTCGACCTGTAGCAGTAGCAGTGAAACGGTGTTCAGTGCTGCTGGACGCACATGAGCGCAAGACTGCGCTAAAGCCAGTGGATTTAATAATGTTCCTCCACAAACACACGTAGCCTAATCTTGGTGAGTAAAGGGTTTTAAATTATAAATAAATATTAATTAAACCATATAATCATAATGTAGACAGAGTATACAGACTAATGGTGGCATTATTCTTTTAATATTCAGCTTCAATTTAGTTACTGCCAAAATACCCGTCATCATTTAGAGTTTATTTGATTTGTTAAGCAAGATTTCTTTTCATTGGTGTGTTGGCCAATTTAAAGGCTAAGTGCATGTAGACCTATAGTGTGCTGAGATGTTACGATGTTACAGAGGACTTATTTTACTTCTTTGTTCCAACTTTCAAGTGGGATATAGTCTACGCTTGTTACGAATAAATAATGTTAAAACATATAAATGACTCATTCTTGAAAAAATGCATTAGAGCTGTAAGGGCTCTGGCTTTAAAAGCTGTCAATCAAAATGTACGTGTCGGACTCGGGACCTATCGGGTATAATTTTTATGGCCCGATTACAGCTCTCTGCATTCCCGCGGGAGCCGGCCAGATTTCTTACGGTGTGGGAGTAAATTTCTGAATAAATCGCGGGAGAGATGTGTGTGTGTTTGTGTAAGACAGAGAAAGTCTCTCTGTCTGTCTCTCTGTCTGTCTCTCTGTCTGTCTGTCTGTCTGTCTGTCTGTCTGTCTGTCTCTCTCTCTCTCTCTCTCTCTCTCTCTCTCTCTCTCTCTCTCTCTCTCTCTCTCTCTCTCTCTCTCTCTCTCTCTCTCTGCCTAAGGTCGCATAGAAGGTATTCAGTTTCTGAATGGTTTAGGCTCAAGCCAACAGTTTGGTGACGCTGTCTGAGCCTTACGTCATAATTTTTTTTATTACGCCGGTAATACCGGATACCGGGGTAAAATATGGAGGCGGTTTGACGGTCTCAAAATTTGGACACCGCCCAAGCCTAGTATCGTTACACCCTTAATATAAATTGATAGATAGATAGATAGATAGATAGATAGATAGATAGATAGATAGATAGATAGATAGATAGATAGATAGATAGATAGATAGTCAAAGAAGTAAGTTTTCAACCTAGATTTAAAAACAGACAGGGATGAAACAGATCTAATACAGAGGGCAGAGCAGTCCACAACCTAGGATCAGCTACTGCGAAGGCACGGTCACCTCTGCATATCAGCCTAGACTTATGTTGAGTTCGGACTACATGATTGTCAAAGTAGTCGTGTCACAGATGTTTTCACATTTTGCATGATTATCTGGGCTAGCGTTTTGTCGCTGCTTTATTTACACTGCAAGATGGATCGGCGACAGGGGATTTCACACTGCATGACTTTACTAAAGGAAGAATCGCCGACAACTTTGTCCAAACTACGTCTCGCAACCAAACACATTGTAAAGTTACAAATATTGGCGCCGATGAGAGCAAGCTTGTGGTGAATGTTGATCCCCCAGCAATCGAGTGTTTTTAGAGAGAGTGCTGAAAGACTCGGTGGATCAGCTGTTTAATGGTCTGAATCTCAATGCGTTGCATTCACCGGGTGTTTAGCGCACATGGCCGCTAAATGTAAAATTTAACACTGTACACATCATTACTAAAGAAGTTTACCTTTACTAAGTTTAAACTGAAACTATGGCTAATGACAAAGAATGGTGTTGTGCAGGTGCATGAGTCCCGCTCATATTTTGGGTCGGCTGACTCGCCTGCTTTATTCCACAACTGAAACGTTTAAAGAGTAGTAGAAGTGAGACTTTTCTTCCTTTCTTTTGTCTGCTCTTTCTTTTTGTTTTAATTTAGTTATTGATGAGTGCTTTGTAGGGATGCAGCGATTAACCGATGTCACTATTAACCGTGGTTTAATTCGTCACGGTTAAATAATCGTAAACAGACACTTGTCAGATTTTATTTTAGTGAGCAGGCAGGAGGTTGACTGATTGTTTACATGGCTGAAAAGCGCGTGCTGTATGGGCGTGACGTGGAGCCGATTCGCCAATCGCAGCACATTATAACGATGACCAATCAGAGTCACTTAAGGGCGGGCCTTTCAGAGGAACTAGGTAATATGACAGTCGTTTTCATGTTAGCTGAGTAGCTGTGTACAATCAAAGTGAGATATATGAAAAAATAACACGATTCCCTTCAAGTGAAACACGAGCACACATTGTTTTGCATCTTATAAACACAACCAAGCCTTAAAATTACATTGTGGACCACCCCTTTAAGGTCACTTTTCTTTAAAAATCAGCAACCTCCACTGGCTGAGTGATATCTGATATAAAGTGGGTCTCTGATTGTACAAGAAGCACTGCATTCAATTACATTTCCCCTGTCATGTCTTTATAATATGAGCGTTTATTTTACCCCATTATATTCAATGGAGCTTCTGCGCTAGCCTGTCGATTCTGACGGGCGCGTGCGAGTAAACGGCCTTTTGTCCCGTTTTGCGCTTGAACAACTAAGCGAATGCCAAAGTTTCTTTAACTGAATGTATTTTAATGACATTACAACATCTATGCTGTAAAATGAACCATATAAAATGGAAAGAAATTTACAATAACAGGTCACCGGAGGTTTATCAGTATGGAACAACACTAGCTCGGCATATACCCTATTAAAAACACTGTAAATATAAGTAGTTTTTATCCGATTTTCTAAACTAGTAGTGTTTTGAAATTAGTGAACGCATAAAAATCGTGATAACCGTGATTATTCCTCAGACTATAATTGTACAATCAAAATCTATAATCGTTGCATCCTTAATTTTGGATGACTAGGGTCACACAGATTTCTCTGCCTTCTCCGCTTTCCTCTTAGAGCTGTGATGCACTCCAGAATCTGACAGATTGATTAGCTGTAGACTCTAGAACAGTCATCTGAAATGTTGTCCTACAGTGTTCTGCCTGGATTTCATCAATAGTCTTGCATTTACTAACACAGACTATAGTTGAAGTGTTTGGAAGTAATTCACATTTTCCTCCTGTAGAAAAACATCATAAGAACAGTGTTTAGTGGCTCAATGTGTTACAGCAGTGTTGAAATGAAATGAATGAAGGAAAATAGTTTGGGCAAATATTAAATATTTATATAAAGAAGGTGACTGGAAGATCGGTGTACCTTGCTGAAGACTGAAATGATCAGGATTTTATAGTTGTCTATCATTTTTTACATCACTTCTATAAAATGCTGTCTTCACTTTTATTTCAGGCCTGATTGAGGAGACGGGCCATGTCAAAATGAGAGGAAGAACTCACTCACTGAAGAGAAAAGACAAAAAATGGGTCACCTGCACTCAGTGTGGGAAGAGTCTGGCAAACAAAAAGAATCTCAAGAGCCACATGAGGATTCACACCGGAGAGAAACCATTCACATGCTCTCAGTGTGGGAAGAGTTTCAGAGACTCATCAAACCTTAATAGACACATGTTGATCCACACTGGAGAGAAAACACACAAGTGTGATCAATGCGGAAAATCATTTCTGTTGGCTTCAGGCCTGAATGATCACCTTAGAGTTCATGCAACTGAGAAGCCTTCATGCTCTGTGTGTGGAAAGAGTTTTGCAAATGAAGTAAATTTAAGAAAACATCAGAAGATCCACACCGGTGTGAGAGAGTATGTGTGCTCTGAGTGTGAGAAGACCTTTATTACAGCTGCAGACTTAAAAAAACACCAGTTGATTCACACTGGAGAGAAACCATACATGTGTTTATATTGCGGCAAGAGATTCAGTCAGTTAGGAGGCCAGAAAACGCACGAGAGGATACACACTGGAGAGAAACCTTACAAGTGTTCACTCTGTAACAAAAGATTCAATCAATTAGGAAGCCAGAAAACACATGAGAGGACTCACACTGGAGAGAAACCGTACAAGTGTTCACTCTGCAATGAAAGATTCAGTCATTTAATAAGCCTGAAAACACACGAGAGCATTCACACTGGAGAGAAACCGTACATGTGTTCACACTGCGACAAGAGATTCAGACAGTCATCACAAATGAAATTGCATGAGAGGATTCACACTGGAGAGAAACCGTACAAGTGTTCACACTGCGACATGAGATTCAATCGGTTAGGAGGCCAGAAAAGACATGAGAGGATTCACACTGGAGAGAAACCGTACAGCTGTTCACACTGCGACAACAAATTCAGTCAGTTAAGAAGCCTGAAAACACATGAGAGGATTCACACTGGAGAGAAACAAGTAAGATTCAGTCAGTCAGAAACATTGAAAAACACACAAGAGTGTCACGTCTGAGAGTAACCTTAACATACAGATATGCAAACTTGCAGTATTGATGGGTTGTTCTGGAACAAATCTTTAATGTTACTCTGCAATAACGAGTCCTTTCACAGAGATTCCTTCATTGCTGTATATGCAGATAGTGGAATTGATTAATTATTTTATATTCTATCAGGTTTGAGTCGTTCATTAATCACTTGAAATATCTGTCGATCTATCCTCTATGCATTTTGAGCCGGAAAAATGTATTAATTCATCTTTTCAAGTCCTCTGGTTTTTGAGTTGTTTGTCTTTACATGTAACTTGATATCAGGATGGGATGTAGGCAATGGTTAAATCAATATTTTCGTCTGAAAGAGCTCAACTCTTTCAGTATTCATAGCACCCAAATGTGTTAAACCCTGTCAATACACATTTAAAAGATATTAGAGAATGTTTTGTTCTTAAAGTTTAGGATAATTCATTAATATAGATCAATTAAAATATTCTACAATGGCAGTCCACAGAAGCATTTGGGGGAAATGTAAGAAATTTCTAAATGAAATGGTGCTAAAAACACAGCAGAAATCTACCATTGATTTACTGTAGTTGTAGTTCCACTGAGTGGTATGGTTTGGTACATTTTTATGGCCGTTTCCACTGTTAAAGGGTACCAAAAACCGAACCGTACCACTTTTTGGGTACCTTTTTGAAAGGTACAAAAGGGTACCAAAAAGCAGAGCTAGACACACAGCTGAACGCTATTGGTTTACAGAGACACGTCACCAGCGCATACACAAGCAGAAGGAACAGCCATTTTAAAAGCAGAGACATTACATCATAATAATATATACATATAATAACAAGCCATGGTCGACGCAAGCTCAAACAGACAATGTCGTCGTCTTGATGAACAGCCACAAGCCAAGAAAAACAAAATGTGCTGTGTCCTATTGTTTTATGAGCCCGTCTAAAGCATGAACGGTTCATGTAATGTAATGAGCATTTATACACAAGTATTTAAGTGTATGAAGCATCTGTTTTGTGAGAAGTGCATCTCATATGATATGTGAATGACCAGTACAGCCTTACTTTGACTTTTCCTCGAGTGAGAATGACGTCGACTGTAACTTTTATACACCACGCCTATAGGTACCCTTCTGGCAGTGGAAACGCAAGCCTGATAAAGGTGACCCGTATCGTTCTGTACTGTACCACTCATTGGACATGGGTCATAATAGACTGGGAGGGCTATAATCCAGAGGAACCCTCCTGGGTAAACCTGTCACCGGTTAGGTCCCAAAGACTCCCCTCCCTCACCAGCAGAGGTCCTCCTCGCCTGAGTTTTGGATTAGCCCCAACTTCATGTCCCATATAAATACACGCTGGTTCGACTATTCAGTGTAAAGGTTTGTTTTGCCTTGCAGCCATCTCTGAGCATTTATTTTCAGTGTTACTGTGTTTTTTTTTGTTGCCGACTTGGACTGAATTCCTGGGTTTTCGATCATTATCCAGCAAACAGTTTTGTGTTTAATAGACATTTAATAGACATCTAAACGTAGACAGCTTGGCTAAAACAAGGCTAAACCTGGGCTGTTAGTGAAAATCTAGTAGACATCTAAGAATAGCTCAAAACTAGACTAGTCTCCAAAAAGACCGATTAGACAGACTTTGTATTTGTAGTCAGTCATTTCTGTTTATTTGATGACTAGTCTAGTTTTGGACGTCTATCAGAATTTTACTGACAGCCCAAATGTAGCCTTGTTTTAGCCAAGACGACTATGTTTCTACATCTATTAGACATCTGTTATGCATTCATTAATTTTCTTTTCGTAGTTTTATTAATCAGAGGTTGCCACAGCGGAATAAATCGCCTTTTCCAGCATATGTTTTACGCAGTGGATGCCCTTCCAGCTACAACCCATCACTGGGGAACACCCATACATTCATTTACACACACATACACTATGGACAATTTTAGCTTACCCAATTCACCCGTAGCGCATGCCTTTGGACTTGTGACAAAAATATTCAGTTAACTACCCAAGGACTTGAAAGTAGAAGGATAAACTGAGACCTCAGAGATCAAGACAAAAATGGTCAGAGTTTATCAAATGATTTGAACTTTCCATCGATAGTGTGAAGAGATTCAGTCAGTGAAAGAACTAAAAACACCATAAAAAGATTCAAACAGAGAGAAACTGCAGGGATAACACATTTAGCGAAACATTTACATTTGTGGAAAGGGTGTTTATATCTGAACAATGATAAATACTGGTGTAGGAGATCATTGTCTGGTGAATATCTTGTATTATTAAAACTTTACTGTAAAAATTATTTGTACTAGTTAATCTGCCATTCACGAGTCTTTCATGGTGAGAAATCTCCTCAGGTATTTTGATAATTATACATTCAGAAGGTAATGTCCAAACACCTTTATATTAGTTCACATTGTTGTTGCAGATGAAATATAACACGGAAAACGTGATTTAAATATTTTCCAGTCGGCTAGATGTTAATTAATAGTCATTCAAACAATGTTACCGAAGCCTCTACTTTTTGACGGTTGGCCTCGCGCGTCCGCCATGTTTGTAGTTTGTTTACACTTTTCCCCCGATTATGTAGTACTGATTGATTCGCTTCCAACATATAATAGGAAAAATAAGCGGTTAAAATACTTAATATGTCTGACGGAAATAGCCGGAAATACACCAGAACCTTTGACATCCTCTTATCAACATTCTGCGGTTTGGAACACTGATTCCATTTCGAACACGCGTTCCCGCCTTCCGCCATTCAAATACAAACCACATGATGGCGTCACCAGCGAGAACTTACAATCGCCCATAAACAAAGCAAAGGGACCAGCGGAGGCCAAGCTGGAGCTAGTCTGCTGGTCCCCCGGGCTCTGCACGGCTGGGGAAATACCAAATTGAACCAAAACAACCTATGATGGCTTAAGATTGGCAAGGAAAATTCGGAGATCGCAGCCAGCAGAACCTAGGAATAAAAAAAATAAATAAGTAAAGTAAACAAAGCAAAGCTGCATTTTATGTTGGTTTTGCTCTTTATGTGTATCTAAAAGAACTTTTACTGTGTTCTAAGTTGTATTCTTAGTTGTACTAAGTTGTACAGTTTCTTAAAAAAATGAATAAATAAATGAATAAATAAAGCAAAGTACTGCTGGGAAAGACACAATATCCAGCTCAAATTAAGCGCTGCTTGTATCAGTAACAGATTCATTCATGTACTTTACTACAGTAAAACACTATATAGTATTTATTTCTATTTTTATGTGGGCACTTATATTTAAATGTGTGAAGGCGACTTTGTCTTTTAGTCACAATTAGAGAGTTTTATGTTGTATTTCGGTTGTTTGTGCTCTGCAGATGATGTTTTCTCTCTAATGAAAGGGGATGTGGCGATTAGTGGATGCTGCTGTTATTGTCCTCTAGATGGCAGTAGTGCTGAGCACACAGTTAGCAGAGGCATTATCCGAGTAAAAGCTCAGAGCAAGGAAAACTCGTGTGGAGGTTCAGTGCTGAAGAAATCACGACAACACACTCCAGCTTTTATATTGAACCTTCTGCTGCCAGACTGTTTATCTGACGGACACTTCAGCTGCTTGCCTTTATTCAGTATATATTGGGGCTCAACTGTAAATTCCTCTACAGAAGCGATCAGGAACACTGGACTTTGTTATTTCAGCTGATATTTCATACACAAACAGGTATGATTCTGTCCTTATTTATGTTTCTGTCCTTATTTATCAGTTCATATTTTCAGAGGGTATCGTGCAAAAGCAAGATAAAAGGATTAAGATGCAAATTTTACGCTTTCCTGACTGAATTTTAACCCTGAGTCCTTTATACGTAAAAATGAAGCTAAACTATATTGAGTTACTAAGGATTTATTCTTTGACTTTATTACTGGACTCGTGGCTCAATCTCGCCCATTTAGACACGGAAACTGCAAAAACTTTAATCATAAAGTAAACAAAAGAAGTCTGGAGCTCCTCCACTGGACTCTTCTTCTGTATATGTTTTGTGGTGGATCAGCATTAAAGGTGCTCTACTGTCACCTGCTGGACTGGGGTGTGAAGCACTGATGGGCATTTTAGTTCTGTAAGCTGGACTGTTAGTTTTCTCCTTTTCTTTTTGTATTTTTCTATTTTCCAGCATTCATTTGCTCAATTACTGCCGCTACACGAATTATTATTATGCGAAGACCTGAGGAGATTCTCTGCTTGAAAGACTTAAAAGCTTGAAAGAATTAAATATGGAAGAAATGTGGATGATGTGTGGAGATGATTGAAAGTGGATGTAAAGAATCTTGAAATAATGTTTTACTTTGTTTGTGATTTTGAATTTATTTATTTATTTATTTATTTTTAATGTTTTGTTGTATTTTTTATACTGGTTGATTGTTGAATGAATTACGTTGTTTGGGGACTTTAATTATGACGTCAAAATTGCGGAGCTTACCGGATGTATAATGAAAACAATGTACGGAACGCTAGGTGAAACACGGTAAAAGGGGTACAGGTATACGGTTGCTTCACGGATTCCTCCTTCATGAGTTATAGCTCCTGGTTTGAGGGAAAAATAAGGTAATTTGGTTTATTTGTTTACTGTTTAATTGTTGATGTTGGCTTAGTGTTAATTTTCGGGATTTATTTGTGTTTGTTGTTTGTTTATTTTCTCTCTAGTTCTTACGGTGATTCATGATTGAATAATGCGAACAAATTCTATGAAGTGTGACCAATAAATGAATCGTGAACATCAGTGGAAGACTTAGTCATCTTTTAACCAGGACGCTACAGTGGACGTGACTAAACAACATAACGTTCAGTTAATGAGGAAGGAGTATGTGCCAAAGTTTGCGTACTCTTCTGTTACACACTCAAATGTACTTTTTAGGGCTGCAACTAATGATTATTTTAATAATTGATTAATCTGTGGATTATTTTTTGATTATTTAATGAAACAGATTTTTTTTAAATCATTAATTTCCAACCCTTTATTTAAAAACAGAGCTAAAATCTTTAGAAAGTGCACAAACATGTTGTCCTTGAACATCCCTGAGCTGTAATGTAATGATAATAATAACTTACTTAGTAGTTTTGACCTGTTTTCAAAAAAATATCTAAAATCAAGATACATAATAGACCAGGGGTCTCAAACTCAAATTGGCAGGGGCATATCAGTGACTGACAATTCATTTGACGGCCGCTTTAACATTCAAACACAACAAATTAAGTGTAAAACCTGATGCACTCAGACATTCTTCCCCTGAGTTAATGCAGTCAAAGCTCCTGACATATGAGCAAATGGCCTGCAAGCCGGCAGTTTGAGACCTCTGTACTAGACACGTGAAACAGCAATAGAAATTATGTCTTGTTTTCTAAAAAAAAAAAAAAACTAAAAATTAAGTGATTGTTTGCTTAAAACAAGCTAAATAAAAATAATCTTAAGCACAGAGCTTTAAAAAAAACAGACTAAGCTTTTCACTCATCATAGCACACGTGCTGCTGATGATGTGACTAAAAGTGATTTGATTTGACTACATGATTGTCAAAGTAGTCGTGTCACAGATGTTTTCACTCTGCATGATTATCTGGGCTAGCGTTTTGTCGCTGCTTTATTTAAACTGCAAGATGGAATAACGACAGGGGATTTCACACTGCATGACTTTACTAAAGGAAGAATCGCAGACAACTTTGTCCAAACTACGTCTCGCAACCAAACACATTGTAAAGTTACAAATATTTGGCGCCGATGAGAGCGATCGTGGTGAATGTTGATCCGCCAGCAATCGAGTTTTTTCAGAGAGAGTGCTGAAAGACTCGGTGGATCAGCTGTTTAATGGTCTGAATCTCAATGCGTTGCATTCACTGTGGGTTCAGCGCAAATGGCGGCTAAATGTAAAATTTAACACTGTACACATCATCGCTAAAGAAGTTTACCTTTACTAAGTTTAAACTGAAACTGCGGCTCATGACAAAGAACGGTGTTGTGCAGGTGCATGGGTCCCGCTCATATTTCGGGTCGGCTGACTCGCCTGCTTTATTCCACAACCGAAATGTTTAAAGAGTAGTAGAAGTGAGACTTTTCTTCCTTTCTTTTGTCTGCTCTTTCATTGATGTTTCTATTTAGTTACTGATGACTGCTTTGCAGCTTTCAGCATTGAATTAAATGATTATAATCTTACGTTTGTTTTGTAGCAGAAATATTATTTATTAAATTGACATGCATATAAAAACAATAGTGCTAAATCTATATTTCTTACTGCAGTTCTTCATTTTAGTTTGATGCAAACCGCAGATTTATTTGTCATAATGTAACAGTACTTTTGATAGCAGATAACACTTTCATGGCAGCATCATGAGAAATGCAATTCATTGTTACTATTATCATCATCATCAATAATATATTTTATAATTATTAGACATTAATTTTGGAATTATTGCACAAACATCAATAAGTCATCACAGCATTAGTTAAATAGCTGTTTCTGATTTTTGTTAGTCCTGATTCATGTTGTTTTTAAAACAACAAATCCCTTAATACTTAATTTGCAGTGGTGCTCATTCATTTTTTGGTGCTGCTCCTTGTTGACACTCGGGAGTACCGGTGCTACCAAGTAAAAAAGTTAATTTCAAGCCCTGCATTAGACAAATGCTAGTTTTTTTATTCATGCTTTTATTTATTTATGTCATTTATTTTCAGTGTAAAATTATTACTTTTGTTTAATTTTTCTTTTAATTTAAAGCACACAGAGAGAAATTGACTTTAGTTTGTTTTTAATGTTATTATGTGCTGTATGAAGTGGTTACTGAGCAGCAATAAACAACACTGCAAAATATAAGGAGTTTTCATCTGATTTTCTAAACTAGTAGTGTTTTGAAATTAATGAACGCATAATAGTGATAATCGTGATTATTTCTCAGACTATAATTGTACAACCAAAATCTATAATCGTTGCATCCTTAATCTCGGATGAGTAGGGTCGCACAGATTTCTCTGCCTTCTCCGCTTTCCTCTTAGAGCTGTGATGCACTCCAGAATCTGACAGATTGATTAGCTGTAGACTCTAGAACAGTCATCTGAAATGTTGTCCTACAGTGTTCTGCCTGGATTTCATCAATAGTCTTGCATTTACTAACACAGACTATAGTTGAAGTGTTTGGAAGTAATTCACATTTTCCTCCTGTAGAAAAACATCATAAGAACAGTGGTTAGGGCCTCAATGTGTTACAGCAGTGTTGGGCAAGCTACTTGAAAAATGTTGTGAGCTAAGCTATTAGCTACTCTACTTAAAATGTAGCTTAACTACACTAAAGCTACCCCCTGGGAAATGTAGCAAGCTAAGCTAAAAGCTACTTGGCAAAAGTAGCTTAGCTACATCAAAGCTATTTTTGCAATTTTTATATCGAAGCAACTTAAATCCAAGTCAACCGTATCTCAGCGATCAATAAAACATTTGAGGCATAATTCAGTTCAGTTATTTACTGTAAATAATATGCTGTACTAAACGGTAACACATTATAGCTAGTATATAACAGCTAAAACAAAAACTCCAAAAAAAGCAGGTGATACACATTTAAAATACCATAGTCATTTATAGTAAAGAGAAATATTTTGACATAAGCATAGTGCATATTGTACATATATTTACAACTCTTCATTAATAAATGACACTACATAATACAGTCATTTATAGCAGTGCTTACAGTAAATTACTAGGGATGTAACGGTATTGTAAATACCGTCATACCGCAATATTAATTTTTTTCGATATTACCGTAGTCGCATGACTCTGTAAAACTATAGATCTTCTGAGAAAATTTGCTCAGGCAAATGAAGCGAACGGGAGGTAGCGAAAACTACAATTCCCATCAGCCCAGGCTTGGGCATAATCCCTTGCGGTCTGTTTTCGCTACGGTTCCAGTAATGCGGAAATGGAGTGTGCTGCTAGAAGCAGGGATGAAAAAGAGCTGGAAAACTCTAAAGCGGGTGTTGTCGCCGAGGCGCGTACTGAATAGCGGTGTTGTCGCGCGAGTTCTTATCAGCTGTGTTGTCGCGCGAGTTCTTATCAGCTGTGTTGTCGCGCGAGTTCTTATCAGCTGTGTTGTCGCGCGAGTTCTTATCAGCTGTGTTGTCGCGCGAGTTCTTATCAGCTGTGTTGTCGCGCGAGTTCTTATCAGCTGTGTTGTCGCGCGAGTTCTTATCAGCTGTGTTGTCGCGCGAGTTCTTATCAGCTGTGTTGTCGCGCACGTACTGAATAGCGGTGTTGTCGCGCGAGTTCTTATCAGCTGTGTTGTCGCGCGAGTTCTGATCAGCTGTGTTGTCGCGCGCGTTCTGATCAGCTGTGTTGTCGCGCGCGTACTGAATAGCGGTGTTGTCGCGCGAGTTCTTATCAGCTGTGTTGTCGCGCGAGTTCTTATCAGCTGTGTTGTCGCGCGCGTTCTGATCAGCTGTGTTGTCGCGCGCGTTCTGATCAGCTGTGTTGTCGCGCGCGTTCTGATCAGCTGTGTTGTCGCGCGCGTTCTGATCAGCTGTGTTGTCTCGCGCGTACTGTAAAGCGGGACGGAGGGTATGTCGCGTCGCGGGGGCACTTTTGATCATTTTGGAAGGGAACTTTCTATCCAAGACTAAAAAGGGCATGTGCACTGCACAGGTTGAGCCCTGTGTGTGCACGTGCCTGCAAGTTGGGGAATACGACTAATAATCAGTCATGGGGACTGCAGAAACACAGCACACTGTTCAGATTGATGCAGACATGAGACCTCTATCTCACTCATGGTTTGTCCTCTCAAGTGGGGGAAAGACAATGCACAACGTTACCCACTGCTGTCAACCTGGGCCAAGTCATATCTCTCTGTCCCAGAAACCTCAGTCCCAAATGAGAGGGTTTTTTCTGTTGCAGGGGACATTGTAAATACCCAGAGACACCAGCTTTTACCAGATTATAGTTGTATGATAATTTTCCTTTAAACCCATCTCTATCTAAGTGAGTGAGTGATTAAATGTTGAATGTGATGAGTTTTCAACAATACTAAATTGAAACTTAATTTTTTTACATGGTTTAATATTTTTTTGTTATTAAAATTAAAGTTCCTGTTTCAAAGCTTACAGATAGATGGCTAATTTGTATGTCATTGACACTTTTGGCACTTTTTTGGAGTATTTTCATAAGTTTTGTTTTTTCCTGTAAATGATTCAATAAATACCGTACCGTGACATTCATACCGAGGTATTACCGTACCGTGAAATTCTGATACCGTTACATCCCTATAAATTACTAAAGTATTTTTCGAGCACAGCATCAGAAATTAAGTTATTGCATCTTAACATGTACTTCTCAAGGTATGCTCACGAAAAATCCTACTTCAGTTCAGAAATAACTCCTCTCTCTCAGTCATCTTTCCATCAAGGTAATTTCTCGTGCTAGCCTAATTTGGTTTGCAACTTCACCGACCAGAGGTGGCAGTAACGCACCAAAAACTTTGTTGGTGAACACCATAAAACAGGAAGAAGAAGAAATCATGATTCTCGCCATCATATGGATTTACTTTCTTCGGCTAGACACCGTCCTCACAGCTCTGTGAATGTCGCTGCCGTCACTTATTGATCCGCGATTGGTAAATGTAGCTTTGTGGACGCTACTGCGCTACTTGACTAATAAAATAGCTTCGCTACTGAAAAGCTGTTTGATTTAGAAAATAGCAACGCTACCGCCACGCTACTGAGAAATGTAGTTAAGCTAGTAGCGTCACTACTTGTAGCAACGCTAATGCCCAACACTGGTATTACAGCAGTTGTTGATATTGAATGAATGAAGGAAAATAGTTTGGGCAAATATTAAATATTTATATAAAGAAGGTGACTGGAAGATCGGTGTACCTCGCTGAAGACTGAAATAATCGTGATTTTATAGTTGTTGTCTACTATTATTTGTTTATATCACTTCTATAAAATGCTGTCTTTTCATATTTATTTCAGGCCTGATGGAGGAGACACAGCATGTTAAAATGAGAGGAAAAACAAAAACACTGAAGAGAAAAGACAAAAAACGTGTCACCTGCACTCAGTGTGGAAAGAGTCTGGCAGACAAAAAGAGTCTCACGATCCACATGCGGATCCACACCGGAGAGAAACCAGTCACATGTTCTCAGTGTGGGAAGAGTTTCAGAGACTCATCAGCCCTTAGTAGACACATGTTGATCCACACTGGAGAGAAAACACACAAGTGTGATCAGTGCAGCAAAACATTTCTTAGGGCTTCAGAGCTGAATGATCACCTTAGAGTTCATTCAACTGAGAAGCCTTCATGCTCTGTGTGTGGAAAGAGTTTTGCAAATGAAGTAAATTTAAGAAATCATCAGAAGATCCACACCGGTGTGAGAGAGTATGTGTGCTCTGAGTGTGAGAAGACCTTTATTACAGCTGCAAACTTACAAAAACACCAGATGATTCACACTGGAGAGAAACCGTACAAGTGTTCACACTGCGACAAGAGATTCAGTCAGATCTCGCATCAGAAAACACATGAGAGGATTCACACTGGAGAGAAACCGTACAAGTGTTCACACTGCGACAAAAGATTCAATCAGTTAGGAAGCCGGAAAATACATGAGAGGACTCACACCGGAGAGAAACCGTACAAGTGTTCACACTGCAATGAAAGATTCTGTCATTTATTAAGCCTGAGAACACACGAGAGCATTCACACTGGAGAGAAACCATACAGGTGTTCACTCTGCGACATGAGATTCAGTCAGTTATCACAAATGAAATCACATGAGAGCATTCACACTGGAAAGCAACCGTACAAGTGTTCACACTGCGACAAAAGATTCAATTGGTTAAAAAGCCAGAAAAGACATGAGAGGACTCACACCGGAGAGAAACAAGCGAGATTCGATCAGTCGGAAACATTGAAAAACACACAAGAGGGTCACGTCTGAGACAGGGCTGTTCGATTTTGGAAAAAATCATAATCGCGATTATTTTGGTCATGATTGTAATCACGATTATTCAAAACGATTATCAGTTGAAGTCAAAATTATTAGCGCTCCTGAGAATTTAGTTTTTTTAAACAACTATTTCCCAAGTTAAGTTAGAGCAAGGAATTTTAACAGTATTTCCTCTAATATTTTTTTCTTCTAGAGCGTTATTCGTCTTAATTCGTGGATTTGTCTTATAAGTCTAATTTGCTTTATTTTAGCTTGATTAAAAGAAGGTTTAAATATTTTGAAATTCATTTTAAGGTCAATATTATTAGCCCACTTAAGCTATATATTTTTTGATTGTCTGCAGAAGAAACTACTGTTATACAATGACTAGCCTAATTACTCTAATTAAGCCTTTGAATTGCATTTTAATTTGAATGCTTGTATTTTGAACAACATCTAGTAAACTGTTATGTACTGTCATCATAGCAAAGATAAAACAAATCAGTAATTAGACATTCATTCATTCATTCATTCATTTTCTTGTCGGCTTAGTCCCTTTTATTAATACGGGGTCGCCACAACAGAATGAACCGCCAACTTATCCAGCAAGTTTTTTTTACGCAACGGATACCCTTCCAGCTGCAACCCATCTCTGGGAAACATCCACACACACATTCACACACTCATACACTACGGACAATTTAGCCTACCTAATTCTCCTGTACCACATGTCTTTGGACTGTGGGAGAAACCCACGCGAAGGCAGGGAGAACATGCAAACTCCACACAGAAACGCCAACTGAGCCGAGGTTCGAACCAGCGACCTTCTTGCTGTGAGGCGAACGTGCTACCCACTGCGCCACTGCCTCGACATATAGTAATTAGACTTGATATATCAAAACTGTTATGTTCAGAAATAAGTAAAAAAAAAAAAAAAAAAAACTTCTTTCCATTAAACGGAAATTTCATTTCTCGTCGTTTGATTAATGATAAAACAGGTGCCAGCATTTCGCGCTGTCACTTTAATGGTTTCTCTTTCACGTGTCTTTTGATTCTCAACTCGTTTGTTTCTTACGCAAATGAGGGTTAATATGAATAATCACTAATCACTGCGTTTTGACACCTATTTGACCATTAAAGCGCTCACGTTAAGATTACTTAGATGTCTGCGCTCCTCTGCAGGTCTCAGTGTGCGAATGAGACCGAATGCTGACCGCGTGCTTATGTGTGCGCGTGTTGCACACACACATAAGCACGCGGTCTTTCATGCTTTTGGTATGATTGGTATATAATGCAATAATCGTTTATCTTGATTAATGGTTTTTCATAATCGTTAGAAGCCATAATCGAAATTGGATTTTCGATTAATTGCACAGCCCTACTCTGAGAGTAACCTTAACATACAGATATGCAAACTTGCTGTATTAATGGGTTATTCTGGAACAAATCTTTAATGTGACTCCGAATAACGAGTCCTTTCAGAGTGATTGTTTCGTTGCTTTGTGTGCAGATAGGGGAAATTATTAATTATTTTATATTCTATCTGGTGTGAGTCGTTCATTAATCACATGAAATATCCCCATCGATAATGTGAAGAGATTCAGTCAGTGAAAAAACTAAAAACACCATAAGAGGATTCAAATTGAGAGAAACTGCCCGGATAACACATTTAGTGAAACATTTACTATTGTGGAAAGAGGATATATGTCTGAACATTGGAAAAATACTGGTGTAAGAGATCATTAAATGGTGGATATTTTGTATTATTAAAACTTTGTTGTAAAAACTATTTGTATTAGTCTACATTATTATAAAACTAATTTTCTTATAATGTTAAATACTTTTTGCTGCTTTATTACATCATATCAGTAAAATATATTAACATTTAAAGTGTTTTCTGTGTTGCATGTCCACACTTAAGATGTTTACTTATGACACATGATGTCCACTCCAGGAAAGCAGAGATAATCGCTCGTTGTGATACAGATACAAAAAACAAGGTAGGAACACTTCAGTAAAGAGAAGAACTGGAAGAAATACAGGGATAAAAGAAGAGAAATGAAAGTGCCAGTCTACTCTTTTTGAAAATAAATTTGAAATGAGTACAATCTTCTCCATACTGAACTCATTTGCTGTGTCCCAATTCTTATTCTTATACTAAGTTCTAGTCATCTCGACACATCATCCACATTTCTTTCACATTTAATTGCCTACCATACTGGAGAAGCAGCAGCAGGTTAATCTGCCATTCACGAGTCTTTCATGCTGAGAAATCTCCTCAGGTATTTAGATAAATATACATGCAGAAAGTAATGTCCAAACACGTCTTTATATTAGTTCACATTGTTGTTGCAGATAAAACATAACACGGAAAACGTGATTTAAATATTTTCCAGTCGGCTAGATGTCAATTAATAGTAATTCAAACGATGTTATCGAAGCCTCTAGTTTTTGACGGTTGGCCTCGCGCGTCCGCCATGTTTGTAGTTTGTTTACACTTTTCCCCCGATTATGTAGTACTGATTGATTCGCGTCCGACATATAATAATATTGTGGGTAAAATTAGCGGTTAAAGTGCTTCAGATGTCTTACTGAAATGGCCGGAAATACACCTGAACATTTGACATCCTCTTGTCAACATTCTGTGGTTTGGAACACTGATTCTATTTTGAACACGCGTTCCCGCCTTCCGCCATTCAAATACAAACCACATGATGGCGTCACCAGCGTGAACTTACAATCGCCCATAAACAAAGAAAAGCTGCATTTAATTTAGGTTTTTGCTCATTATGCTCATCTAATGTGATTATTATGTAAAAGAAGCGTTACTTTAACTGTATTCTAATATTATACGGTTTCTTAAATAATAATAATAAATAAACGAAGCAAAGCACTGCTGGGAAAGATCGCGTAACAGAATCCGGTTCAAATTAAGCGCTGCTTGTATCAGTAACAGATTCATTCATGTACTTTACTACAGTAAAACACTATATAATATTTATTCCTATTTTTTATGTGGGTAATTAAATTTAAATGTGTGACGGTGACTTTGTGTTTTAGTCACAATTAGAGAGTTTTATGTTGTATATCGGTTGTTTGTGCTCTGCAGATGATGATTTCTCTAATGAAAGGGGATGTGGCGATTAGTGGATGCTGCTGTTATTGTCCTCTAGATGGCAGTAGTGCTGAGCACACAGTTAGCAGAGGCATTATCCGAGTAAAAGCTCAGAGCAAGGAAAACTCGTGTGGAGGTTCAGTGCTGAAGAAATCACGACAACACACTCCAGCTTTTATATTGAACCTTCTGCTGCCAGACTGTTTATCTGACGGACACTTCAGCTGCTTGCCTTTATTCAGTATATATTGGGGCTCAACTGTAAATTCCTCTACAGAAGCGATCAGGAACACTGGACTTTATTTCAGCTGATATTTCATACACAAACAGGTATGATTCTGTCCTTATTTGTTTCTTTTCTTAATTATGTTTCCTTATTTATCATTTCATATTTTCAGAGGGTATCGCACAAAAGCAAGATAGAAGGATTAAGATGCAAATTTCACGCTCTCCTGACTGAATTATAACCCTGAGTCCTTTTTAAGCAAGTAAAAATTAAGCTAAACTATATTAAGTTACTAAAGATTTATTCTTTGTCTTTATTACTGTACTCGTAGTTCAAACTCGCCCATTCAGAAGCAAAAACTTTAATAATAAAGTAAACACAGAACAGAAGTCTGGAGCTCCTCCACTGGACTCTTCTTCTGTAGATGTTTTGTGGTGGATCAGCATTAAAGGTGCTCTACTGTCACCTGCTGGACTGGGGTGTGAAGCACTGATGGGCATTTTAGTTCTGTAAGCTGGACTGTTAGTTTTCTTCTTCTTCTTTTTTTTTTTGTACTTTTATTCATTCATTACTGCCGCTACACGAATGATTATTATCCAAAGACCTGGGGAGATTCTCTGCATGAAAGACTTGTGAATAGCAAGAAATGTGGATGATGTGTGGAGATGATTGAAAGGGGACGTGACTAAACAACAAAGTTCAGTTAATGAGGAAGGAGTATGTGCCAAAGTTTGCGTACTCTTCTGTTACACACTCAAATGTATGTACTTTTTAGGGCTGCAACTAACAATTATTTTACATCTCACAGGCAAACATGTTGTAAAATAACAGACAATGGCGCCGATGACAGCGATCGTGGTGAATGTTGATCCGCCAGCAGACATCAATCTTGTGTTTTTTAGAGAGAGTACTGAAAGACTAGGTGGATCAGCTATTTAATGGTCTGAATCTCAATGCTTTGCATTCACTGTGGGTTCAGCGCAAATGGCGGCTAAATGTAAAATTTAACACTGTACACATCATCGCTAAAGTTTACCTTTACTAAGTTTAAACTGAAACTGCGGCTCATGACAAAGAACGGTGTTGTGCAGGTGCATGGGTCCCGTTCATATTTTGGGTCGGCTGACTCGCCTGCTTTTTTTACACAACCGAAATGTTTAAAGAGTAGTAGAAGTGAGACTTTTCTTCCTTTCTTTTGTCTGCTCTTTCATTGATTTTTCTATTTAGTTACTGATGACTGCTTTGCAGCTTTCAGCATTGAATTAAATGATTATAATCTTATGTTTGTTTTGTAGCAGAAATATTATTTATTAAATTGACATGCATATAAAAACAATAGTGCTAAATCTATATTTCTTACTGCAATGCTTCATTTTAGTTTGATGCAAACCGCAGATTTATTTGTCATAATGTAACAGTACTTTTGATAGCAGATAACACTTTCAAGCATGTTCAAGGCAGCATATTGAAACATGCAATTCATTGTTACTATTATTGTCATCATCATCATCATCATCAATAATATATTCTATAATTATTAGACATTTAATATCATTTATTCAATTTGCAGTGGTGCTCATTCATTTTTTGTGGGTGCTCCTAAATTTTTGAAGTTGGTACTCGGGAGTACCGGTGCTACCAAGTAGAGATGCAACGATATAAATTTTTTGGCAGATACCGATAATTCTTCAGACTTGGAGGCCGATATGTATGAGCCGATAATTATAAATATTTTAAAATGTTATATTTTTATTCAGCAAACTTCATTAAAGATTGAACTGCTCTTATGAACTGAAAAGTCTATATTCAAAGCAAAAAAATAACTTCAAAATTGAGGGTGATTATAAAGACCTATATTCACCATTTCACATTTATCAGCATGCAAAACATTTATTATTTCCTTTTCTTCATAGCAAATAACATGCAACTTGTTGCATAAAAATAAAAGGTTAAATAACAAATGGGATAAAAATGGGATTAAACCCCAAATAACGTGATTTAATCAACAAGCAAATTAAATATATTTTAAATAAGATGAAAATGAAAGAGCGAAGTACTAAAACCAGCTGAAATGTACTTGAATAAAACGTGTTCAAGTGATGTACACATGTACAATGTAATGTCCGAAAAAGCCTTTTTTAGAGGTGTTTTGACAGTTCAGAGCCACCTTACAAGCAAAAAGCTAAATACAGATAGTATTACTTTAGAAAATGCGGCATAGATTCATCCTATTTGGCGTTTTAGATTCTTTTGAACACATGTAGCTGCTCAATCAGACAACGCTTCTGTGCTCGTTCTTGCTAGCAATTGCGGGAAAAATGATAGATGAAAAGTTTATGATAAACCCAATGACTGTAAAAAATATGGACGACGCGACAGCCCTTTTTCCCATTGAACGCCTTGAGGGCAAAACGCCTGCTTGACGGGCACAAACTGTCGCAAAAGACTGCTGAAATTGGAGCCAGACATGCGCAGAAGGATTGTCTGATGGAGCCAGAGGAGGAGCCGCGAAAATGAGCAGAGTCGAGCTTCCAATCAAACGCTTTATGTAAAATCAACTACGCCCCCCGAACTTCTCAGCATGCGTTTGCTGTCATATCAACACAAATGGATGTAATAACGTTAACAAATATGAGGGTTTTATATATTCAATCGCGCTAGCTCCGGGCCGCAGCGCATAACTTACTCGCGGCGTCGCGGGCTGATTCCGGCTCGCATTCGGCAGCGCCGGCTCGCTCGGCCGCCGCATCTGGCTCGATTGACTCGGGCTGGAATTGGATAGTGAGTCCAGGCATCCGGAGTAGGTCCAGCAGAGGTAACATTAGTCAGTCTGAGCTCTAAGAGATAAGTCTCCGGCAGGCGAGAATCTAGCCGGAACTGTGTTTTGCTATCTGGGTGGCTAGGCGTGTATCAACAAACTAATAAAGCCCGAAAAAAGCCCTGAACTTAGCGAATAAACAGTGTTCCACCAGGATCATGTATGTCAGAAACTATAGTTTACTGCTGAACTCATTTTGTCATGGTAAAATAACACAGAAATCGAATAATAACATTTCAGTCTACTTCAGTCTCCTGCCGAAGCTCAGACGCCGCGCTTTGAGAAACTGTCAATCACAGCTGTCAATCACGATGACACGCCCAGCATTAAATTACTGCTAAAAACAAACTGTTTACAAAAATGAAGATCTGCACCTATTTCAGCACAATAACCAGTGCCTTAATCGACCAGAACTATCTTTCGGGACATTTTATTGCAAGTGTAATATTTTTTTTTATTTGGGCTCAAGTCTCCTTCATTAACACGGAGGAGGCGGGCTTTATGACTTGTACTGCAGCCAGCCCCCAGGGGGCGATCTAACGGCCGAAACCTTCACTCAAACGTAGGCTTGCGGCACATTTGGATAAACCGCTGTGGGGTTCACTCAATTGCAGGTGCTAACAGACACAGTGCAATGAGAATGTGCGACGAGTTGAGAGCCCCTCTCCCCTGTGCTGTTCTGTGTGTGTGGGGTGACATGCAGCCCTCACGCGCGCTCGTTATAATCAATATGAATATTGTGATCAAACTGAATACAATCTTACATCAACAACACATGGCAAGCAACGCGTTGATAATAACAAATCATATTAGATTACAAACAACCCATTGAGTTGTTAAGCACGTATGCATCTCTGCTATTATGTTTGCACATGTAATATTTTTTCCTGAGGCGATTTAAATCAAAATACACAACGCCACTCAATCAAACATGTCTACAATGATAAGGAACATGGTTACTCACTGAGTTATTAACACACAGCAATACCACATGAAGAAAAGACGGACTTTAAAGCAATAAACAATGTGAGGAAAGATCTATTGTAGTGCACTGGACAAGTCTAAACAAGTTTCTTAACAATTAAAAGTTATGTGCTGTATTAATTGGTTACTAAGCAGCAATAAACAACACTTTAAAACATAAGGAGTTTTCATCTGATTTCGAAACTAGTAGTTTTGAAATTAATAAATGCATAATAATCGTGATAACCCTGAATAGTTCTCTAACTATAATCGTACAGTCAAAATCTATAATCGTTGCATCCCTAATCTTGGATGACTAGGGTCGCACAGATTTCTCTGCCTTCTCCGCTTTCCTCTTAGAGCTGTAATGGCTCGTTTCCACTGACTGGTACAGTACGGTACGGTACGGGTCGGTACGGCTCACCTTTATCAAACTTGCGTTTTCACTACCAAGGGTACCCTTTTGTTGGGTGTGGTGTACATTAGAAAGTTTCCGTCGCATCATTCTCGCTCGAGAAAATGTCTACAATAAAGCTGTACGGGTCGCTCACATATCATATAAGAAGCACTTCTCACAAAACAGACGCTTTACACACTTAAATACTTGTGTATAAATGTTTAGTCATTATTTAAATGCTTCTCCTTTGTTTTTTCGCGCTTCACTCTCGCGTTTGTCAGTACCTGACAGGATCGGGTTACAAAAGCACGTCAATAATCAAGCGCACGTTATTATCATCAGCTCAAGAAGTTTGTTATGTCAGATATAGACGCGCGGCGAGCGCAAGCAAGAAAGCGAAACCGCTCGCGCTTCAGACTGGCTCGTGAAAAACTATGAGGCACAGGGTAAATCTGCTCTGTATATAAAGACGGTGACTGGAAGATCGGTGTAACTCGCTGAAGACTGAAATAATCGTGATTTTATAGTTGTTGTCTGCTATCATTTGTTTATATCACTTAAATAAAATGCTGTCTTTTCATATTTATTTCAGGCCTGATGGAGGAGACACACCATGTTAAAATGAGAGCAAAAACAAAATCACTGAAGAGAAAAGACAAAAAACGTGTCACCTGCACTCAGTGTGGAAAGAGTCTGGCAAACAAAGAGAATCTCAAGAGCCACATGAGGATCCACACCGGAGAGAGACCATTCACATGTTCTCAGTGTGGGAAGGGTTTCAGAGATGCATCAAACCTTAGTAGACACATGTTGATCCACTTTGGAGAGAAAACACACAAGTGTGATCAGTGCGGAAAATCATTTCTGTTGGCTTCAAGCCTGAATGATCACCTTAGAGTTCATTCAACTGAGAAGCCTTCATGCTCTGTGTGTGGAAAGAGTTTTGCATACGAAGGAAATTTAAGAAAACATCAGAAGATCCACACCGGTGTGAGAGAGTATGTGTGCTCTGAGTGTGGGAAGACTTTTATTACATCTACAAGCTTACAACAACACCAGATGATTCACACTGGAGAGAAACCTTATATATGTTCACACTGCAGCATGAGATTTAGTCAGTTTTCACATCTGAAAACACACGAGAGGATTCACACTGGAGAGAAACCGTACAAGTGTTCACACTGCGACAAGAGATTTACTCAGTTGGGAAGCCAGAAAACACATGAGAGGACTCACACTGGAGAGAAACTGTACAAGTGTTCACTCTGCAATGTAAGATTCGGTCATTTATTAAGCCTGAGAACACACGAGAGGATTCACACTGGAGAGAAACCGTACATGTGTTCACACTGCGACATGAGATTCAGTCAGTCATCACAAATGAAATCACATGAGAGGATTCACACTGGAGAGAAACCTTACAAGTGTTCACACTGCGACAAAAGATTCAATCAGTTAGGAAGCCAGAAAAGACATGAGAGGACTCACACCGGAGAGAGACCGTACAAGTGTTCCCACTGCGACAACAGATTCAATCAGATAGCACATCTGAAATCACATGAGAGGATTCACACTGGAGAGAAACCGTACAAGTGTTCACACTGCGACATGAGATTCAGTCAGTTAAGAAGCCTGCAAATACATGAGAGGATTCACACTGGAGAGAAACAAGTGAGATTCAGTCAGTCAGAAACATTGAAAAACACACAAGAGTGTCACGTCTGAGAGTAACCTTAACAAATATGCAAACTTGCAGTATTGATGGGTTGTTCTGGAACAAATCTTTAATGTGACTCTGCAGTAACGAGTCCTTTCAGAGTGATTCTTTCATTGCTCTGTGTACAGATAGGGGAATAGTTCAAGAGGTCAATAGTTAAATCAATATTTTTATCTGGAAGAGCTCAACTCTTTCAGTATTCACTGCACCCAAAATGTGTTAAACCCTGTCAATACACATTTAAAAGATATTGGAGAATGTTTTGTTCTTTAAGTTTAGGATAATTCATTAATATAGATCGATTAAAATATTCTACAATGGCAGTCCACAGAACCATTTGAGGGAAATGTTTGAAATTTCCAAATGAAATGCTGCTGAAAACACAGCAGAAATCTACCATTGATTTACTGTAGTTGTAGTTCTACTGAGTGGTGCGCTTTGGTACATTTTTATGGCCGTTTCCACTGTTAAAGAGTACCAAAAGGCGAGCTAGACCCACAGCTGAACGCTATTGGTTTATAGAGACACGTCACCATCGCATACACAAGCAGAAGAATTAAAAACAAAGAAACCGCCATTTTAAAAACACAGCCGAGACATTACACCATAATAATATATACATATAATAACAAGCCATGGTCGACTCAAGATCAAAAAGACCTCGTCATCGTCTTGATGAACAGCAACAAAGCCAAGAAGAACAAAATCTGCTGTGTCCTGTCCTGTTGTTGCTTTACAAGCCTGTCTAAAGCATGAGCGGTTTCACTTTCTCCAGAAAGTTCATGTGCATCGCCGCTTGTCTATATTAGAAATCAGGTGTGCGGCTGCGGGAGTTAATGTTGAATTTTAGTAAGTAAGTAGGGGATTTTATCCACCCTAAATAAAGCGATTCCCTTCATTGTAGTTAATACTGACTCATTCATAAATTAGTTGCGGCAAAAATGCTGATTACCGATGTAATTGTCCATGAATCTGCTGTATTAGCGATTATAATTACTTATCTATAAATGTTCTGCAGCACAAATAAACCTGCATTGCAGTGTCATGCATTTGATAAAATGACAGAGAAAATGGACATAAGATCAATTTTCAGTGCAGCTAAACACCAGGTACAAAAAGTTCACATATTAAGCAATTTGGCTTTCTGAATTAATCCTTATGAAAACACTAATATCACAATATCAATCACAGGCAAATGAGAAAGAAATGATTGAGGAACAGGCAGAGCAGGGTCAGTCAGATGTACAGTGTCAGGCTGATTTATACTTTTGCATCAAACGCTGACGCATAGCCCTTCGCCGTGGCCGTCGGCGTCACTTACGTGCACCCCTCAAAAAATGTAACTACACGTCGCAACAACGTGTAGCGCAAGCTCTGTGATTGGTCGCCTTGGTAGCGCTGACGTGTCTGGGCGGGACCCAGAGCCGCGCGAATGTCGCAAGCGATTGTTTACAAGTGTGGAGTCCTGTGAAGGAGCTCCGGATGGAAAGTTTTGTTTTGTGTTTACCTCATAGTTAAAGTTGTTGCACGTCCGCCGGTTCCTGCCTCAAAATGAGCGAGTTTGAGCCACTTGTACATCCCGGAAGTGTTCAGGAAAACAAAACAGCAGTGAAGAAACTCGACACAGAGGAACATTTACACCTCACTGCTAACTAGCGTTTCGGAAGTGTTAATGCAGACCAACAGAGACAGCGCGCAGAAGTATAAATGCACAGCTACGCGCGTTGCATGCGCCGTGGGTTACGCCGGTCCTTTGACGCAGAAGTATGAACCAGGCTTTAAGGGTGTTGTGCTTTATTGAAGAGATAATGACAATTCTTTTGGGGGTGAACAATTTTTAAATGATCAGTCAATTTTTATGATCAGTCAATTTAACAAGTGTAATGTGAACTAGTTATTATGTGTATGGAAAACGTATTTTCCTGCATTGATTCTGCTTCAGGAGTCAGTTGACTGTAAACAACACAACAAACAATGCAATAAATAGTTTTGAATAAAAATTTGCTGTCACTGAACCTGAGAAAAACTTAGAAAATAACTATAATGACGTTGTCTCCATGCTATAATAATAATATTAATGATGAAACCATTTTAACTGCGGGGACATATCTTTATTAGTACAATTCGGCTGTATTATTTGTGCCTCTTTCTGTTAAATCAGATTTACGCCCATGATTGAAGTGCTTCTCACTAGGGTTGGGTATCGTTTGGTTTTTTTTTTTTACCAGTGCCAAATCAATACTTTTAAAATGGTACCGGTGCCAAAACTGTGCCTGAACCGACTTTTTAGCCACAAAATTAATTGACAAAAAAAATGTGTGTGTGTGTGTTTGTGTGTGTGTGTGTGTATATATATATATTAATCATTATAATTGAACAATATAAATTTATATTTGTAGTAAATTTAAAGTAAACATCAATTCATATTTTATTTATTTGAATTGCATTAATATATTTCTTTTGATCATTTGTTCGTTAGCATGAATGCTAGATTTGCATTATGCTATTAACATTACATTACTACTAACCTGTGGAAAGGCTGTCATCAAAATCAGGGAACAGCTTTGGGGCTTGTGACTACTTTTACATGGACATCAGTGATCTGATGATTTGCCTTAATCTGAATAAGACAACAATATGATTCAGGTGTTTACATGAGCGGCTTTTTGAATGTTCCATTAATGATTCCCAGTTACATGTTATAGCTCATAGATCCAGTTACGTCAGTGCGTCAACAGGCTATAAATGTTTACTTCGCAGTTTGTGTCTGTGGTCCTTTAAGATAATCAAAAATCACAGTTTACGTGGAAGACTTTTGATCAGAGTATTGTCTTAATCATATTAAAATCAGAGTATTGGTGTCCATGTAAATGTACTCACTGAAAGTGTCAGATGATGTCACAAGCTGTCAAAGCCAGTCCATTCCTCACCTTTAAGTTGATTCCATAAGCCCTCACATTTCATAAGTTTGACGTGTTTCCCCCCTTACAACTTTAGTTAAGCATCTGCTGCATGTTGGTGTGTCAGAATCCTTGCTTGTAAAATACAGCCATACTGTAGAATGCTTAGTTAAAGCAAATTAGATGAACGCTATCATCAAGAACAAACGCTTGACATCCGTATCCCTCCAAGCTGTTTACAATTAAATATTTAGAGATGGTGTGATACAACATGTACTCATATGTGCCTTTGATGCACCCCTTGATGCTTCTTAAGGACGTCACACAGCAGATGTGCCGCTCAGAGCCCGGCATGGCGCGCACATCACAGTTGATAGTATCACACACCAGACGTGCACATTCGCATGTTGTTTAAAATGAAACTATCCAGATGGCGCTCTGTAGCGCGGCAGAAATATGAACAGTCATGAGTCGTGTCTGGGCGCTGCGGACAGCCGCTGACTTGCGAATTCTAAAATGCATGGTGCTGCGCATCGTTGAGCGGCGCTTCGTGTGTGCGACCTGCTTTATGTTCTTGTCGCAGCACCACTGGCACCTGAATTAGGCACCGAAACTCACCGGGTTTCGATACCCAACCCTTCTTCTCACATCTTATCCTTTCAGAAACAAACAAACAAACAAACAAGAGAGTGAAGTGTGAAAAACAAAGAAGAAGCCAAGATTTGTTTTGCCGTGCAGACATCCCTGAGCGTTTCTTTTCTGTTTCACTGTGCTTCTCTGTTGCCAACTTAGACTGACTTCCTGGATTTTCGATCATCATCCAGCAAACATTTTTGGGTTTAATAGACGTCTAATAGACTTCTAAATGTACACAGCTTGGCTAAAACAAGGCTAAACTTGGGCTGATGGTGAAAATCTAGTAGACGTCTAAGAATGCCAAAAAACTAGACTAGTCGTCAAATAGACCGATTATACAGACTTTATATGTGTTGTCAATCATTTCTGTTTATTTGATGACTAGTCTAGTTTTGGCCTATTATTAGACGTCTGTTATAGTTTCACTGACAGCCCAAATGTAGCCTTGTTTTAGCCAAGATGACTGTTTCTACATCTATTAGACATCTATTATTCATTCATTCATTTTTGTTTCGGCTTAGTCATTTTATTAATCAGAGGTCGCCACAGCGGAATGAACCGCCTTTTCCAGCATATCTTTCACGCAGTGGATGCCCTTTCAGCTGCAACCTATCACTGGGCAACACTCATACACTTATTTACACACATACACTCTGGATAATTTTAGCTTACCCGATTTACCCATAGTGCATGTCTTTGGAGTTGTGACGTGACAAAAATATTCAATTGACTACCGAAGGACTTGAAAGACGAAGGGTTAACTGAGACCTCAGAGATCAAGACTAAATGATCCGAGTTTATAAAATGATCTGAACTTCCCATCAATAATGTGTAGAGATTAAGTCAGTGAAAAAACTAAAAACTGCCCGGATAACACATTTAGCGAAACATTTACTTTTGTGGAAAGAGTGTTTATATCTGAACATTGAAAAAATACTGGTGTAAGAGATCATTGAATGGTTGATTTCTATCTATCTATCTATCTATCTATCTATCCATAATGGCTGTTTTATCAGAAAAGTATTCTTAGTCATTATTTCATGTATTGCGGTTCTGTTGACTTGTATTATTAAAACTTCATTTTAAAAACTATTTGTATTAGTCCATATTATTATAAAACTCATTTTCTTATAATGTTAAATGATTTCTGCTGCATTATTACATCACATCAGTAAAATATATTAACATTTAAAGTGTTTTCTTTGCTGCATGTCCACCCTGAAGATGTTTACTTATGACACATGACGTCTACTGCTGAAAAGCAGAGATAATCGCTCGTTGTGATACAGATACACAAAACAAGGTAGGAACACCTCAGTAAAGAGTAGAACTCTAAGAAATACAGGGAGGAAAGAAGAGAAATGAAAGCGTCAGTCTACTCTTTTTGAAATTAAATTTGAAATGAGTACAATCTTTTTGACGGTTGGCCCTGCGCGTCCGCCATGTTTGTAGTTTGTTTACACCCCCCAAGTATGTAGTACTGATTGATTCGCCTCCAAGATATAATAATATTGTGGGCAAAATTAGCAGTTAAAGTACTTAACATTTCTTACGGAAATAGCCAAAAATACAACAGAACCTTTGACATCCTCTTCTCAACATTCTGCGGTTTGGAACACTGATTCTATTTCGAACACGCGTTCCCGCCTTCCGTAATTCAAATACAAACCACATGATGGCGTCACCTGCGTGAACTTACAATCACCCAAAAACAAAGCAAAGCTGCAGTTTATTTTGGGTTTGCTCTGCAGATGATGTTTTCTCTCTAATGAAAGGAGATGTGGCGATTAGTGGATGCTGCTGTTATTGTCCTCTAGATGGCAGTAGTGCTGAGCACACAGTTAGCAGAGGCATTATCCGAGTAAAAGCTCAGAGCAAGGAAAACTCGTGTGGAGGTTCAGTGCTGAAGAAATCACGACAACACACTCCAGCTTTTATATTGAACCTTCTGCTGCCAGACTGTTTATCTGACGGACACTTCAGCTGCTTGCCTTTATTCAGTATATATTGGGGCTCAACTGTAAATTCCTCTACAGAAGCGATCAGGAACGCTGGACTTTGTTATTTCAGCTGATATTTCATACACAAACAGGTATGATTCTGTCCTTATTTATGTTTCTCTCCTTATTTATGTTACTTATTTATCAGTTCATATTTTCAGAGGACATCGCACAAAAGCAAGATAAAGAGATTAAGATTTCACACTTTCCTGACTGAATAATAACCTTAACTCTCTAATAAACCTTAACACACAGCTGAATCTCCAGTAATGTAGGGAATTAAATATAAAATAAATGTGGATGATGTGTGGAGATGATTGAAAGGAGACGTGACTAAACAACATAACGTTCAGTTAATGAGGAAGGAGTATGTGCCAAAGTTTGCGTACTCTTCTGTTACACACTCAAATGTACTTTTAGGGCTGCAACTAACGATTAATTTAATAATCATTTCATCTGTTGATTATTTTTTTCAAGTAATCTATTTATCAGATAAAAAAAAAAAAAGAAAATTATTAATTTCCAATGCTTTATTAAAAAACAGAACTAAAATCTTTAGAAAGTGCACAAACATGTTGTCCTTGAACATCCCTGAGCTGTTATAATAATAATAATAATAATAAAATAAAAAAATAACTTTGTAGTTTTGTCCTGTTTTCAATATCTGGGACTGACTATTCATAGGAGGGCGGCTTTAACATTCAAGCACAGCAAATAAGTGGAAACCTCATGTCATTGATGCACTCAGACATTCTTCCCCTGAGTATATGCAGTAAAAGCTCCTTGCATATTGAAGGGGTAGTTTAAATTGCCATAAAAATGCTACAATTTAATATTAATGTCTAATTTGGTAATTTATTTGTTAACTTTAGTGACTTTACCAGTAATTGTTCTTCTCAGTATCTTTATTTATTTTTAAAACTACAACACCAGCATAACGTGTAAGCCAGACGTGTCTGTACAACACAATACAGGTGGTATAAAACTGATCACAATCAAATGACCCTTGAATAATTAAAAAAATAGAGCTTTAGTAAAAATACAGCACTTGCGTTTATATATTTCAACATTTAAATCAGCCCCAGACATAATCTGCATGTGTTATTCTCGAGAAAGAAACCGAAAGTAACCTGAATATGTAGTACAGTACTTTAAATGTGTAGTAGGCTGGGGTCAAAACTACAAGTGTATATGCGACTGCACAACATTGATAGTGATTCAAAAATATATGTTTTGGTTAGCTGAATCTTGTTAATGTCAGTGTTGTTGATGTCAGTTGAGGGCCAGAGGGAGGAGGAGGGGGGAGAAAATGGCCTGCGGGCCGGCAGTTTGAGACCCCTCTACTAGACACATGAAATAGCATAAGAAATGATGTCTTCTGAAAAAAACACCTGAAAATTAAGTGATTGTTTGCTTAAAACAAGCAAAATGATTTGCTAATGGGGTAAGAAAAATAATCCTAATTATTTAAGAGACTAAATTACCAAGTAAGTGTTTTGCAGAGCAGCTATACATGACAGCAGATGGAAAAGTAAATGATCCAAAAAATGTGAGTGATTACATGCGAGTCTTTAGTCTTGCAATGCAAAGTGCAAAGTAACTCGACCACCGCTGCTTTATTTCTGTTGTTAACCCTTTCACTGCTGAGTTTGAAAGATTCTGTAGGGCCCCGAGAGTGAGTTTTTGTTTGGCGATCACTATTTTAGAAAGTTCACTCTTAATATTTCAGTGGCGACGCATCATGTTTGTCACGTGACACACCGCAGTCACAATAGCGCTGTATGACAGATGTATTCCTTTTATTAGCTTTTCTGTGTTAATGCAAAATAGTCACAGGCTTGCCTATTATGTCATCAATGAGCTGATATTCCAACACACAAAAATTTGCGAGTGCTTTAGTTGTTTTAAAGATGTATAAATGATCTTGATGGTGATCTTTAACGTGAGATTGGCACGTTTACTTGCGTCCGGTCATATGCCTCATTCATAAACACAAAACACACAGGATTCAGCGCATAAATTCATCAGTTACTTCCAAAATGCATGCAAGCAAGTGGCTGGCCAACTGGGAGAAGAATAGACTGAACTTTATTGTTACTTTCACTATGTGTATCTGATATGAATAATACACATCAGCGAATTATATCTGAATGGATAGTTAGACTTTCTTTTGTGTTTTACAAACTCTAAACGTCTTGTTTTACTAGCAATTGTGTGTATTTACATGTCTAAAACATAAAATAAGCATTGGGTGGTTAAAAACGCTGCATAATTGTGATCATATGACACGTCTTTCTCTGGCTCAGCACCAGCCAACATGCCAAAGCTCAGTTTGAATTGTTCTTGTCATGCTTGTTAAGCTGAATAACAAGTAAAAAACACCAGCACCAGGGACATTACGCTCCTCACTTCAAAACGGAACCAAAGTAGGATTCTGTAGTGGTTTACCTTGCGTTCACCCCATTCCTCCTCATCAAAGACTCCCAACATGTTTGGATGACTAGCAGGGCTCGAAAGTGCGACAATTTTGGTCGCATATGCGCCCGTAAATTAATCTATGCGACCTCATAATATATTTGGGCGCATTAGTGCGACTACAGATAATGGTTGTAGTGAGACCTGTTTAGATTTTTTCTAAAAACGTGCTGAATCGCTCTTCCCTGCCGCTTTATTGGTTTATATAAACCATCAATCACGCAAGGTATTCCGCTGTGAGATGACAGGGAAGGAGCTTTTATGACCACGGGAAATGCAAACGGCTGAAGAGTGAAAACTTAAAGCACGCAGGTTTGCAAACCCCACCTAAAGTCGAGGCGCAGATAAGAGCGATCATGACGTGGTGAATATTGATCCGCCAGCTGAGATCAATCGAGTACATGCTTTTCGGAGAAAGCGCTCGAATCTCGATGTGTTGCGTTCACTACGTGTTCAGTGCAAATGTCCGCTAAAAGTAAAATCTAATACTGTACATATCATCGCCAAAGAAGCTGGCCTTTACTAAGTTTACACTGAAACTGCGGCTCATAACAAACAGTGGTATTGCGCCGGTGGTCACCGCAAGAATCCCGCTTAACCTGCTCATAAATTCGGTCGACTGACTCGCCAGCTTTTCCACTAACACAGAAAAATGAAAATCAGCTCAGACTGAACAGATCAATTGACACAAACTGAAACCAAAACTTTTAAAGAGAGATAGAAGTGAGACTTCACTTACTTTCTTTTGTCTATTCTTTCTTGAGGTGTATATATATATATTTTTATTTAGTTACTGATGACTGCTTTGCAGCTTTCAGCCTTGAATTTAATTATTATAATCTTTTGTTTGTTTTGTAGCAGAAATATTATTTATTAAATTGACATGCTTATAAAAACAGCAGTACAAAATAAATATTTCTTACTGCAATGCTTCATTTTTGTTTGATGCAAACTATACATTTGTTTTTCATAAAGTAACAGACTTTTTATAGCAGATAACCTACATTCAAGCACATTCAAGGCAGCATGATGATGACATGTAATTCATTGTTACTATTATTGTCATTTTCATCATCATTAATGTTTTATAATTATTCGACATTCATTTTGGAATTATTGCACACAAATATCAATGTCTTCGCAGCATTAGTTAGATAGTTGTTTCTGGTTTTTGTTAGTCCTAATTGATGTTGTTTTAAAATACAATAAATCCCTTAAAATACAATTTGCAGCGGTGCTTAATCATTTTTGGTGGGTGCTCCTAAATTTTTTCTGGTGCTCCTAAATTTTTGAAGTTGGGAGCACCGGTGCTACCAAGTTAAAAAGTTAATTTCGAGCCCTGACTAGGGTCACACAGATTTCTCTGCCTTCTCCACTTTCCTCTTAGAGCTGTGATGCACTCCAGAATCTGACAGATTGATTAGCTGTGGGCTCTAGAACAGTTAAATGTTGTCCTACAG